TCATTTAAATCATATAAACACTGTACACATTAACATTCTGTCACAATGTGATGTTAAAACCTGGGGACGGATGCCAATTGCCGTTCTTTATGGATTTCTCCCAATTTTATCCCCAAAGAGGGTTTTTTGGGAGTTTTTTCTCCTGTCAGGTAATAAATGAACAACTTCATGTAAGGCAGCCGACTGAGGCAAATGTCTTGAGAATTGAACCACATGAACTGTTTTAGATCTTATGATGAAGTGTGATGAACGGTGATCATTAATGATGGGTTGTTGTAATGAAAGTGTACTAGTTATAAGATGAAGACTTAAACGATGTATGCTTTGTTGGGTTCACTCATTGAGGCATAAAGCCAACTGTATCTACATTGAGTGCATTGGAGTGTGAGGGACAGATAGGACAGAGAGGTTTCAGGTTACAGCTGCAGCTTCACACCTCAACGTGGAAGGGACGATGGAGGAGGTGACCCTTTGGAGAAGAAGCCAATGACATTCAATTGCACCAAAGAAGACACACCTCAAGAGGTTTCAAAGGATCATGGCGGGGGAAAGACTGTTAGAATTTCTCCTGCAGCCGCGTTGATAAGTCACTTCAGACTTGCTCAGAGGATTCTCTATTTCGCGAAATATTCCACTGTTCGCTTAGTATTTCACTTTGTAATTGTAATCCCTATTACGTTGTTCAGTTATTAAATAACTTTTGATTTTTGAATTTAAACGAATTGACTCATTCGTGTCCTCGTTTCCGGCCGGGACGAGAACAAAGGATTGAGTCCTCCCTCGAGAGCTTCCGAAACCTTAACAGAACCAAAAATGATTCCCATAGTTGTTTTAAAACCCCGTTGGACCAAAGTGTTCATACCTACAGCGATTTAATGTGATTATTGTTAAAAACAGGTGTGTTTGGGGTTGGCGTACTCTGTGTAAAGTTCTTTGGTGAATTAGGTAACAAAGTCAGGTAAAGGTGAGTAAAGGTAGACATCCACTTATCCGTCTGACGTGATTAGTTTACATATACAATATATATATATATATTACATGTATACACACAATACATGAGATTGTCAAAAGCAAAGACTGTGCGTAGGACGTGGACGTGGTCATCGTGATGGTCGGTGGAGTTGCGTTTTGAAGCCTGGACCTCGGCTACATGACGCCTCTCATTGACCAAGCGTCCTCATACAAAAAGTCACTCCTCTGTCTTGGTGTGTTTTGCGTGGTGAGTCGTTTCCTGTGAAGACAGAAATGCTGCCTTTCTGTCTTCACAGGAAACGGCTTTGTTTAGGCAACAAAGCCGGCCGGCCTGCGAAAATATCTGAAATGCTGGTTAGGTTTAGGAATGAATTGTGGTCCGGGTTTGTACAGAAGTTATGGGAGGAATAAGTCATGTGATTTTTCTTTCGGCTCAGGGCACAAACGCTTTGCAGGCTTTTCACTGCCTGGTTAACAATCACAGGGTTTTCATGTGATTTGCTCTCTTTGGATATCAAGAATTACAGTGCATTCATTTCCCAAAGGCAAAGCCATGAACCCTGTATGAGACGAGCCAGAAAGAGAACAAGTTGATGAGGTGATGCAAGCCTTCAATAGTTCCAAACCTGTTAAAAACAGGGTCACATGCTAAATGCTTATTTGCTCCACAACATTTTTGATAAAGAGTTAAAACTAAAGACAAATATCTTATCATATTTAAGCAAGAAATTTACGTTTGAGCATGAACAAACTGTATTGGTTTACAAAGTAATGTCAAAGAAAGAATGAAGAAAGCAAATACCGCTTTATTTATTAATGAATCATCTTTCAGGTTTAATCAAGCGGTGCTGGCGTGGAAACATCAGTCATCCTCATCTCCAACTTTTTACTTCATGGCAATGGTCATTACCTTACAGACAATGGGGGACTTCCATTGCACATTTTTGGATATATCTTTTTTTACAGTAGTTACATTTATAAATGACAGAAAAAAGATATACAGACCTCAAGTAAGGCTCTAATAATAATAGTAATATGTTGCATGTTTAAATATATCTGATTTCTACCCTCATTGTTGTTGAAATCACACACAACACGTGGTAGTGGGAGTGTGATGTGGGGAGTGACTGCCCTCAAGTGGCACAATAAACACAAAACCAAAGGGGACACCAAAAGGTCGCTTTTCAATGCCTGTTATCATGAGTGGCAAAGTGATCAGTGGAAGGAACCTTTTCCAGAACGGCACAAGCCGATTTAATAACTGTATTGAGAATCTAGCACAACACAGCGACTTTCAAGTAGCGCAGCGTCATAAATGAAGTGATGTGTGTCTTAATGCGAGGCTTTAGAAATGAACACAACAGGATGCTGTAATTGCTCATAAAGCCTGAAACGGGCAAGTGTAGCAAATGCAGAATCCCTTTGTTCCCACCATTATTTGATCTACATATGAATAGATAGAGATGGATAGCTGTTGATCCATGGATAGGCTGAGGAAAAGAGACTGACTCACTCACATTCACACACGAGGCCCAGTTCGGGTCCTGTATTGATAAGCTGCATGTTTTGGCGCTGTGGGAGGAACCCTGATGGAACCCACTCTGACCATGTGAGCTGCACACAGAGGGGCCGAACCGGGGCCCCTGAGCGGGTACAGTGCTTGCCACCGTGCAGCGCCCACGGTTGTTGATGTTTGTGAATCATTTAGGACGGTCTTGGGTACTTACAGTAGTACTTACCCCTTCTGTTCAGTGCTGCATACTCTTCAACGCCGTTGTCCTGAAACACAACTGGAGCTTTCAGGGGGCTTCTGAGAGCTTGGGGCAGTTTCCTTCTCCTTTTCTGATTCTTGATCCAGTCTGGATAAGTTCTAGGTCAGAGGTCTTGACCTAGGGACTAGGGACCTAGGGACTAGGTCAAGCCAAGGTCCTCCAAACTGATGGCGAGGTGGAGCAGGGACCCCCTATTCTATGGAGTTTAGTCCGCCATCTTTTATTTTTGAGCTTCACGCTCTTTAGACGTGAGCATAAAGGCGATCTGATTGGCTGGTGCCTGCGCTGTCGTATCAGCATGAAAGGAGCTGTGAGTGAACCGGCGCCCAGCTTGAGAGCTGCTGAGGGAAGCTGGATGTGTGTGTTGCGGACTGACAGATGACGTCTTCTCCATCAATTTATCCGTTCGCTTCAATATGTTGGATTCATGTTAATGTGTATTTAAAGAACATAAATACAATTCTGATTCTGAAGACATTTACATTTGTGGGAAAAAAAATTGTTTAAAAAAATTTGCGACCCCCACTGCAGTACCTTCGCGGACCCCTTGTGGGTCGCGGACCCCCTGTTGAAGACCTCTGCTCTAGGTGAACTATTTAAACCATTAGAGGGGGCTCTTACCCAACCGAATCTCTGCGTCTCTGGTACAACAGAGACAATAGTAGACAAACCTCTGTTTGTTCCTGCTCTTGTCTCTGTCTTACTCTTCCATATTTAAAGTATAGGCCTTCACAGCTGCTGATAGAAAACACTGTATAAAAACATGATATGGCTTGTTACGAAATAATTCCTGTCCACACAAACACACACAGTTTTACTGTAAATCTCTCATCTGAGACAGAAACCTGTTTCGAACCACTGCATGATCTTTTTTTTTATTTTTGCATGCCCCATTTGGATTTGATTTTAGTTTTGACTTTTGACTTTTGGTCCGGTTCCTTTCCGGCCTCCGACACCGTCTCCATTCCACTTCCACTGTGCTGGTGCGTTCGCGTGCCGGCTCCGCCATATTAAGTACCGTCCAAAATGCAGGAATACCAGGAAGTGGGTTAAACCGTGAGATTACATCTATTACTCAACTGTATGACCCAATCGTTTGGTGCGGCCACAGGTACGGATGTTTATTGTAAAGAAGAAAAATAAAAAGTTATCCATAGTATTCCCACAGTGTGTCAGCGGCGGTCAGCGGCGCGCCGTTTCTACTCCAGGGGCCACAGCTGATTCAAACTGCTAAAAGCTGGTTAAAACTCGTTAAACATAAACTGCTTGAACTTAGACACTTGCCATTATACAGTCGTGAACCACTTAAAGTTCAAAAGGAGAAATAAATGCTACCAAAGAGGCTTGGGACTTTTATTTTTCCCCACGGGCTCACTGCTCCCGAAAGATGCTGCTAAGAAACCACGTTTACAAGAAGTTATAAAAGTTCCTGGAATCTGAAATGGAAGTTGGCCTTGAAGCACGCCTCCGTGTTTACACCCTACTTATAAAAGGCGGGCGAGTCGTTCTTCGGCGGGTGAGACTATGGAGACCATGGAGCCCATGGGCGCCGCGGGGTGGGACACTGCACACCCCACAGCTCGCTTGAATTGAAGTTTAAAATAAGAGAAACGTTGACGAGGTTCCAGGTATCATACTTTTTACAATAAACCGTGACCTCTTTGCCTGTATTGTCTGCATGTGGGTGCTGACCTCGTTTCCTGTACTCACCAGTCGGGACACGATGTAATGTAATGAAAAGGTGTCACCGGGATCAGGGCACATCAGCCTCAGTTAGATTTCCAGAATTATTTGCTGATACTTTTCCCTTCTTTTAAAGAGCTTTTTGAGTAATGTATGTAAAATATAAGTGAAAAGCACTACATGTTAACACAATTTTATTTATCCATCTCTTCAATGTAATCCACCTTTTAATGTATGACTGTGTATTCTGTGTGTTTTCGCTAATTGCTTGTTTTTATTTATCTAGCTTTTAGGATATTTGAAAATGTTTTATGTAAAATGAGCATTTGGAAAAGTGCTGTATAAATTAAATGCATTATTGATATTATTAATATCAAACCATATGATTTTGTCTATGTAGTTTCTTTCATTTACATATGGAATGTGGAAATGTCAAGTACCAGAAAAGAACAGGCTTCAAGACATGATCTTGTTTGACTGCTGTAAAGAGCTCATCATGTGTCACATGTTGTCGTGGTCCATAAAGTAAGATAATCCACGTATGGATAGAAGCAAACAAACAGGAAACTGGCATGGTTTGATCAAGAAATGTTTATAAACGGTTAGTTATCATAGCAATATGATATGATGGGTTACTATATTGAACTTATGTTATTGGTTGACCATCCAAATATTTTGTCTTTTCAATATATTTGATTCTCCCCTGAGGAAAGATTTGAGAGTTATTAACAACATCGGCGTGGAGCGCTGATAATTTCCTCTCCGCTCTGCTTGCTAGCGCTGCGCGCTCAACTCAGACTACACATATAAAATTCCTCAAAATGTCGGCGACCTGGCGGCAACCTCCAATTGTAAAGAGGGAAGCCAATGTTTTAATTGCTTAAGCTTGCATTCTCCTCAACGTCCATCGGGGGGCGACTTCTCTGGTAACAAAAGGTCGGGATGTAAAACACGGCTCTACTTCTCTTAAAACAAACTAAACATGAGTTTATGTCTCAATCTGTTGTTTCAAGTCTACAACATAATGTTTGTTGAGTAAATTATGGTAAATCTAGAGTCATAAATACCATAAAGCAAGGCATGCTTTAGGGCGGGGCTACCTCTTGATTGACAGGTTGCTACCCTGACATTGCTCTTTCTGGTGGATTACCGTGTTTTTGACGTGCTGCTTTAACCCTTCATGTTGGGGGAGGATCGGGGGGGGTTTCGGTTCATGAAAGTTTTTAACACTCTGGTCCTGTCACTACTGGTTAAAAAAACTAAGATAGCGACGACCAAAAAAACAAGATGGCAGCATCAAATCGGCACAGCACAAACAGTAAGTACGTCCACTTCTTTTATACCATCAATGGAGACCAAATAACTTGATACAAACCAAAACATTTCTTTAAGGGGTGAAGTAAGATCAACGTTTACTGGAGCCAAACATAAGAGTTCAAGTGACGGATTCATGCACTTTGGTGTCAAGGGTTAATAGAATTGTGAGATAAGCAAGAAATAAAGTCTAGTTGTCAGTAGAGAAGCTCACAGTATGTAGTCAGGTTCCAGACCTCTGAATTATTGCCCACACCTCCACGTTCAGTCTGGTGCACAGCAGAAGATTAAAGATTAGTAGCATGATTGGCTGGAGAGTCCACGGGAACGTTACAATACCAATGACTGGGCACTGGTTCAATCCCCTGGGAAGGTTTCCAGCACCTCCCCAAATCCACGTCTTGAGAAGACACTGATACACTGCATTTACCAAAAACAAACGTGACAATATCTGATTGTGGCTTAAGACTGATGCTGGACTCGTATCCTTTGTCACAGTGGAACTAACATAATACAATGTGTGGAATCTCGTGAAAAAAATAACCAATGCAACCGTGGTTCTATTGTGAGATGAGAAACGTGGGAAAGATCCGCACGGGCGTGTGGACATTTCCTGACATCACCACCTCTCGGAAAACCAATCCATGTGTAAATTCAAACATTGGAAGCAAAAATGAAAGGATTATTAAGTATTGCCTGCTTGCGTTTTGGAGGCCAAACAAGTGTCAGTTGCCGCTGCCTGGTGTGTTCGGCATTAATGTGTTCATTATGTTGTCTTGTGGCTGTCTGCTTTGTTTTCCTCCCACACAAACCACATCTATGCACCAACTGTGCACAGATTTTTCAACTGTTGATTTAGTTTGGCTCCAAATGCTCACTAGAGAAGCGAATGTCGATTCATTGGCACTAACAATAGTCCCCAGCAAATACACTGTTACCTTCGAGGAACGTCAGGTGTTTAAAATCAAATAAAATCTGTGCCAAATAAAGGGCAAATATTTGCACAACCTCTTTTTCGTGCACAGCGTTGACTTGCCTTAACACCTGTTAAGGAGTGTTGTCACTCATTTGAGTGATGACTGACTGAATGCGTTGTCATGAACTGGGGCCGATGACACAATAGCATAAAAACTGTCTGGACTGGGGACGTGAATGAAAGAGAAGTACAGCGGGGTGGAGGTCCAGGCTGCAACAAAAGCATCGCTCTACAACGCTGTCAATTGTCTCGAAGGCTCCTTCAAACTTGCACTTCCAAAGAACAAAGAAAAAGCTGCGCGGAACGTCCCGCCGGTCTCATTTCTCAATCTCATTGAAAAACTCGGAGAAGCCCGAGTACGGAGTGACGTCGCCGGGATCTGAAGAGGAGGGAGAGACACGACGGATGTTATGCTGTTACGCCATGTGTCTGCATGGCTCTTTAGAGTCAAATAAGTATTACACTAACCTTCACAGGGTCCCCTTTTGAAATGGATGTCATCGATGGCGATATCGCTCCGCAGTGTCGGGCCCCGGATGGCTTCAAATACAATCTGCAGGAAACACACAACTAGGTGAGGCTAAGGGGGACGTCCACCAGTCAAAAAAACAGTGTGCAAGACCGTTTTATTTGAACCTGCATATGTATTTAAAGTTTGCACTTAAATGTGTTTTTTTGACCAGCACACTAAATGATGTGACGGCTGTTATGTAACACATCAATGCTGGTGTTAATATTAATATTATACACTTTTCAGAGTGGCTTTGGAAATACGATTTAAATGCGTTAATACCCCGCTGACGCACCTGGTGTCGGACGTCGCAGTGGTAGTCCACCATTGCCCTCATCCAGCTGACGCTCTGCTCGCCGCGGCGGCGCCACAGCAAAGTGTCGCGTTGTCCGTCGGCGCGGCGCAGGAGCACGCTCAGTATGCCGGTGCCGGAGCCGTACATGTGGTGGTAAAAGACCAGGCACTGAGGGGACGAAGAGCCCCGCAGGTCAGAGGTCAGCAGTCGGGCCTTGTCACCTGGACGCATGAGGGACGCCTCGATGTACATGAAGTAGCCTGGGGGAGGAAGGTGAAAGACACGGTTATTTACGCGGCGTAAATGAAGCGTGCAAGAAAAACTAACACGACTACTCCAACTTTAGACATCTTACAAGAATTATAGGAAAATAAGATGATGCTTTCAGTTAAGTTTCACACATCGGGTTCCATCCAGTCGGGGGCGGCGGGGGTTGTGATCTTTCAAATGAATGAATGGAGCAACGCATGAGGAAATGACTCACCCACCCCAGTAGTGTGGTCTCCTCGGGGTCCTGTAAAAGAGGTAGGGGTGTGTCCTCGAATTCTCAGCCAGTCGGCTTTGTCTTCTCTCTTGTCCTGGGTGTAGCCGCAGATTCCACCTTCAAAGTCACACTGGCCCGGGAGGGAGCCTGAGGAGCGAGACGGACAAAAAGAAAGTCAGTGGGACCCGGGCTGGAGTTATTGACGAAATGGCTTCAAAGAGGCTTCTGGTTGATGTCCCGTTGTTATGACATTAACAACAGTTGTCAGTGTACGTCTTTGTAGGCCTTTCACCTGCTGTCATTCGACAATCCCCCAGGCTGACTGTGATGTCATCGATGGCAGCAAGGCCACATTCCCAGAAGTTCTTACATATGCTGACAAACACGACCTGGGAAACAGAAAAAAACGGCTATAAGTATTACTGTTGTCCATCCATCAACCCTTCCAAAATCATCCATCCATTCCATCGATGGATCCATCAATCCATGTTTCAACCCTCTATCTGTTCATCCCTCCATGCAAATGTAACATCTATCAAAAATCTATCGTTTTGTCCATCAATCCATCGTTGATTTATCCATATTTATCCATCCGTCCGTCAATCCATTCATCCATTCAAATTCATCCATCCACTCCATCTACATCCATCAATCCATCATCCATATTTTCAACAATGCATCCATCCACATTCATCTATTTGTCCATCCTTCCATCGTCATCTTCATCCATCCACATCCATCCAACCGTTCATCCATTCAGTCTTCCACTTCTTCCACATACATCACCCACCTTGGTGAACATTGGCTTCATGTAGGTGATCTCCACCTCAGTCCACACAGCCTTTGAAGTGTCAGTCAGGCTCCACACCTTCTCCTGGGCCACATTGTTCTCGTCATAAATGTAGAGAAACAGAGCATTGTCTACTTTCCTAAAGCCATGCAGCAGGTAGTAGAACCTCAGGCAGTATTTGTGGTTGCCTGGTAACAATGGACCATGAAGCCGACCCACATAGCCGGGCTGCAAAGTAAAACGTGTGTTTGCCACGAGGAAACGTCCTAAGAGAGATCGGAGGAAGATCAGGAGGTCATGAGTTTACGGTCTCAGTTCCAAGTTTCAAGCCAAAATTGCACAATTGTTTCAAAACCATATTGAAAAGTATGTAGGCCGATATTAGATTTGAAACGCTTGGTTTAACTCCACAATTTAGCACTTTATGGTCCATTTTAAGTCATTAATCTGGACAATGAGAGTGTTCATGTACAAACCAAAAGTATTCTCGCTGTGACAAACCAGGCAGCGATAATCATGTATTAGGTGACTCACCTGTTCCTGTGGTATGGTCTCCTATCCTGTAGGCATTAGGCTTTACTGACGCTATGCTCCACACCTTACTCTCTGTCCTCTCCTGATGGTACAGACACAGCCCATTCTCGAAGTCACAGTTGGCTATGGAGGGGTCAAAGGTTGGTTCTGGGGCACAAAACGCAACATCTTTAATAACAGAGGTCAGGGACGTGAAAAGTATGCATGTGATTGTATAACACCATGGAAAAAAATATGAATATAAACATGGACATGGACATGCACGGTAGTGTCTCTGGTCACTGCTGGTTTGAAAAAGGATTTAGCCGTTGATTGGGATTTAATGAACAGCGTTAGTGTGAAGGACGGCCATCACCCTTTTTCCCAGTCTAGTTAAATGTATCCAATTGTGTGCATTGAACCTTGTGTAGTTGACGTTTTGTGCGCTAATATGATTATGTTTAACTACACTGAATGGACAGATTGCAGAAAACATTTCCTCAAATGTCGGAAAGAACAAATGTGTGGTGTGTATATTTTTATTACAATGTGTTTCTATTCAATAATCTATGCAAAATTTGAACAAACTTTTTGAAATGTTGCAAAAAGGTTTGGAGCGAGTAACCATGACTTAGGGAATCTAAATTTGGAGACCCTGCAAAATGAGTTGTGTTATCACAAATTATTCCTGAAAATGTCCAATTGGAACGAAAGCCCTTAATGTCACACAAACAAACGTTGTCCTGGAGGCCCACCGATCTAAAAATCCCAGCTCTCCTTAATATTTTATGTTTTCAGACCTGAGGAAACATTCTAGAGCAAGTTTCTATAGTGCTGACAGTGAAGTCAAATGTCATGTGACTTTTTGCGTTTTCAGCGCTTTGAAATCGTATTCGGCGCATCATCCTTGTAACACTTCCTACCCCTTTACCGCCTTTTGTTCACCCTGTCTTTAGTTTTCTTTTTTTGTTCATTTTTCACCCTTTCCTTTGCCTCCCTCCTCTGCCTTCGTTTTTCATCTCCTTTTCTCATGCAGCGGTCTTTTGATCAACCTTTACTCTGCTGAAATCACCTGTGTCAGTGTGGCAAAATTCCGGTGAGAAGGAGATGTCATCAATTGCAACGTATCCACCTCTGGCACTGTTGAAGGCCACCTCGAACACCACCTGGTAACAAACATGGAAATAAACAGCAATCACAACGATGGGCTACGAACAATGAACGACTTTAATGCATCTAACCGTCTCAGACTCATTAGTCCTGAGGAAATGCTTTGTGAATCGTAACATGGACGCGTTGCTGAGGCCTGACGAATGAAGCTATAGGAGACCGTCCAGCAGCCAGTACAGACCGGCTGTCACTGTCATCAGCTGCTTATCAGCTGTTTATCGGATGGGCGCTCTCAGCCAATAAGCGTCAACCCTCTCAGCTGGCATCAGCTGTTCAGCGTCTCATGGGACCCTTCGCCTCCGCTGCACCATCCGCCTTCTCAGATTCAGCACCCCATCTCGACTCCAGCAGAACCTCCAGCACCCACCACCACCACCACCACCTGGAATCACATGGTTGCCGCTCAGGGCAAACACAGCGCAATCTCCCCGCGTTGAGTTCAAGCGCCAAATAAATTCAGTTTAACTAATGAACGCATCATCCAGCATAATAAATGTTAACTACTAATTATTTCCTGATGGAAATACTGGCGACAGCTGCAGAAGCCGTACAGTGACATCAGTGTCGGGTTTATTCAGAAACATAGTCGGCCAAATGTGTTGCCTGATGGAAAAGCTCTGTATGACTCTTGGCTTGAATGACCCAGTTGGTGTTATGCAAGCTTCTTTCCACAGCCGCAGCAGTCTGGCTGAAAGCACAAGGAGAGGAAACAGGGGAGTCGTAGAGAATAGCCATTTGACAGGCCACAGAGTGGTTTCATCCACTCGGCTGTACAGGACACCAGAACGAGACAGTGGAGTTTGGCATTTGTCTTCCTTTCTTGATGTTTGGAAATGTTTTTACAGTTTGAGATGAAAACCAACCAACTACATGGAAATGCTGTGGTGACCCCTAAATAGAAAAGCCGAAAACCACATTTAAAGAACTACTGTCATAAAAATGTAAAATCGCCCCCACACAAAAAAAGAATTCTCTGCTCCAGTAGGCAAAGGCTAGGACCTACCCCCTTTAGGTCCTAACCCCTGCATCGCTGACTGGTTCTACCGATGCGCAACTTGTGGAAATAACTGGAGCTTGTGAGTGAGCGCGACCTGGTCTCAAAGAAGAAACCAAATGAGGCCGTCTCGAGGACACCGAATGCGTTTTGGGCTAAGCTACAGGGATATCCTGGGGCAGCAGACAACGACAGGTGGGCCGGGCTGGAAGAGTTCGGTGAGGCTATCGAGAAGGACCATCAAACGGCCTCAAGGAAGATGAAACAATTTTTCATGGTGGACACATGGAACCCTGCAGCAAACTGATGTGTTTTTCCATTTGCAACATAAAGCCCTTCTCAGGTTTCAAACAACAGTACTGAATTGTGTTTATAGTTATCGGTCAAAACGTTGTCGTGCTTGCAGGAGAGAAGTTGCAGACAAGACATAACTCCTGGTGTGCTGATGCATGCGTGGACTCTGATTCTACACCAGCATGTGCCGGGCCGGGCGAAAGTTGCACAGTCGAGTTTTCCAGCTGCAGCTGTCAGACGAACTCCTCCGCAGTCAGAAGGCCAATGCACGCAGGCTGTGCAAGAGCCTTTCTTTGCAAGCTACAAGGATCATCAATGTGGAGCCTGCCAAGGGTCAGAACACTGATCTCTGCTGACTGCAATATGGGTCAAAATCTGTGCAGCAGGAGCCGAGGTACTGTGGGTGTATGCAGTTCAAACAACACTGGATCCTTCATTTTCCATGATGCAGCCTAAAGGCATCTTTTGTCAGGCCCTTCTTATCCTCCGTCGCCGTCCACGACTTTTAAAACCCGCTATCTGCTTTTGATTACGTTTCTGTTAAAAATGTGTGTGGTAAGCAAGCCCAAGCTGACCTGGTGTATTCTCAGGGTCACTTTTAGATTCGACCAAGCTCCTCCCGAGCAGCAGGAGTGCCAATTTTGGAACCCATTAAAAAACGGTCTCACGATGAGCTTCTGAGACTGTGGGTATATTTCTGGAGTTCTGGTGTAGCCACCAGATATTTAGACTTCTGTTCCTGTGATCCGCTATTTTTTTCACATCCCGATAAGCATTTTGACACGCAAAGACCGGAGTTGGAGTTGAAGAACAGCTGCATTGTTTCACAAAAATTGCATTGTCAGAGGATGGCCATTGGTTTCCCAGATGGCGTTTTGGTCAGTGAGTGTGGGCTCTTCTGCTCTCCTCCTGTTTCCTTCCATCTGGAGTTCTTCACATACACTGGTTTCATTGTTGTCACCATGTTACGATCTCAGCTATTAACTACAATGTCTTCATAACTGATCTGAAAAGCTGCAAAAAGAACAGATCTCTACTAAAATGGTATTTACCTTAAAGGTGACATATTTTCAGCCTGCCTGAAACAGCTCTGCTCCTCCACCATCCTCACTCCCCTGTGGGTTGAGCCTTGCATGGCAGGCCTCCCCTGTGTCATCAATTATTGTATGATTTCAATCATTACATAGATTTCTATAGTCAATATCGCTGAATTTGTGTATTCTCCTGTTCAGATACGAAGGAAAGACGTGAAGGAAATAAAAGTCTCTGTACAACGACCTCACTGCAGGTCACTGTTTGTCAGATACACTCTACAAACTATAATACTTTGACCCTGAACAAGAAGATGCTCCCAAACAAGTTCCACAATTTAGGGTTCAACAGGACGTTTCTGAATGATTTGGCCGAACACACAGCCTTTTGCCAATTGTAGCCCAGACATGGTCTTCATATATGAAATCCAGTGTTTCTCCTTCCGTTGTAGGATACAGGCACCCCCGCCCGAGTACATTAATGCACCGAGGGAGTTCCGTCCCGCTGTGCGCGCTAGCACAGCGGACAGAGAGAGCGGAAAATGTTGTAATCGGCGTCGCCTACGCCACAGCCACATTAACACGCAGACGATCTATCAAAGTGGAATCTTCATCGTCCACTTTAGCCATTTTCCCCAGCAGACCCCACTATTTTTTAATATAAGTAGGTGGATGCTAACTGCAGGACTGACCTCCAGCGGGTGTGGGGCCTTGATGTCGACGCTGACTTGAGTCCAGCCGGATGTAGCATACACCCCTGGCCTCCAGATCTCCTCGTAGTGGCCCAGTTGGTCTCTGGTGAAAACTGAAAAGATGTTTCCTCTCTCTTGATCTCTGTTGTAGTAGAAGGACAGGCAGCCGGCTATGGGCACCGTGGTCATGGGCGAAGTCAGCTTGGCTACTTCCTGGAAGTGCTTGGCGTACACAGAGTCCACATACATGTAGTAGCCTGGAACAGTTGAAGATACAGATGAGCAGAACGTCGTGTGCTTATAGAGTCAGATTCATGCATGTGGTTTTACAAGTAGCAATAACATTTTGATTAATGAATTGTTACTCTGACTCATCTTTAGTGACCCACGTTCTGTGTTTGGAGGTGAAACAGATGTTGTCTTGAAGGAGTGCAGTGAGCATTAACTATGTTGCTGTTTTTAAAGACATGAATCTGGGATGGATCCTTCAGGTCTGCATCCAAACCAAACAATAGAGCAGAGCCTTTGGCCAACACAACTTCCTGATTACAGATTCTGTCTGGCGGATCATCAGTCCATGTTAACTGCAGAGCCTTTGTATGCAGCCCAACCCTAACCGGTTATTATATTATATACTGAGTATTTGGTTGTTCACATACCGGAGATTTGATCGTGAATTGGAGTTTAACGTTACTAAAATGACTAAAACTGCAACAGGCCCCATCAGGGCCCGCTGATACGGACTCTTACCCCTCCATATGGACCTGTTACATTCATTTCTTCACCTCAGTCTATAAGCACATCCTTGAGAATATATCTCTGTACAGTGTTTTTTTTTTATACTTTGGACTGAGACCTTTGCCCATTTCTGGGACAATTTTACAAATTTCTGCTAAGAAACTACCACATTCGGCATAGCTCTTGTGTATACCTATCTTATATGGTACATTTCATATTCTTATGCCGTTTTCTTGTTATCGACATCTAGTTCTCATACATTTGCCAATGCATTCCTTATATACATATGTTTTATAATATTGTTATTATGTTTATGTTATGCACCAATACACCAAATCCAATTGCGGAAAACCTGCTCGTGAACCTCAGTGAGCCTGATTCTGAAGTACAGAGTAGTGCAGTTAACAAAGAAAGAGGAAAACAACAGATGAAACATGATTCGTATGAGTATATATGTACGGTTTATAATGCAGGGCATTCACAAGGGACTTTTTGAGTATTTGGTAAATATGTTTGCCGAAGCATTGCGTGTTTCATATCCTGAGCAGAATGAACACCGTCTGTCAGCTGCAGTTGTCAGAGCACTGTCCAACAAAGCGCACAATAACCACCAGTAGCTGCAGCCAACCACACTGGTGACAAATGAAAGCAGTATGTTTAGGCAGGGTTTTGGTGGAAATGTGTGTTTGGAGAGTTCTGGACGTACCGGTCATAGAAAACAACAGTGCAGAAGTTATGCAGAATTGGATTCAAAAGTTCTTATAATCTAAACTTTCTAAACAGACCTTGAGAATGAGGTTATTCTTGGATAATAACTAGTTTAGGCCGGTGAAAAGGTTGGGTCCAGTTGTTGTTGGTGAAGATTAGGTAAAGGGGGAGGGTTATGTTCAGGGTTAGGGTTGGGCTTTGGCTTTTAGGCGTGTGATGGTTAACATTTGGGTAAGGGGCTTAGGAATGCCTAATATCAGTGAAGGGCCTCACAAAGACGGAAATAACAGGGATTGTGTGTTTTGAGTGGCTAACTACCTCTCTGGTTAAGTGTTGGCGTGGTTTACCAAGCAGGTTGGACTCAGGCTCTCCTGGCCACTCTCCCTCCGACGTACCAGTTGACGTTTGGTCCAGCTGTTACTGTAGGCCGCCACAGGATGTCTCCTCAAAAGCGCACTCTGGTGAACAGCAACAAGCCAAACATTCCCTCCTCAGTATCCCATGTATGTATGAAATAAACAACAGAAAAACACCAGCCGTTATAACACACTGGACCCTGCAGTAACCAGGAACAATGTGAATTCAAAGATGGCCAGCTGTTCCCCGAACCGCGTTCAGGTCGACCCCCCAGCAAAATCTGTGGATGTGAAAATAGAAGTTAGATCTAATCATATCACATAAAAAAGCACGTTTCACATCACGATCACATTGTTATATCACTTTGTACAATTGCACATGTGAGTTATAGTAGTTGCTACTATATGTATATAAATAAATACATTCATTATTGTAGGTGGTGCTGACCACTTTATTCATCATATTGTTGTATTTACATACAGTAAAGCATACAACATTGATCTCACAGTTGCTCTGAACTACATCGGAAATTATTTTGTACTTCAGTAGAATACTTGAGTAAATGCAATGAGTCACATTCGACATTACAGAACCTTCCCACCAGTTTAAGCACCTCAGGTCAGGTATTTGAAAGTGGGCATTGTGAAGGTTTAGTGGGAGCCACAGTGCACACACACACACACCTCGACCAACACTGCACTGCCAGCAGGTGATAGGAGCGTAGCATTTTGAGATAAGGCAACATAAGGGGCCTCTGGTTGAAAAACTACGTTTGATTGTACAGAAGTCTATGAGAAAATGGCTCTACTCCTATCTTGATGTAGTACCTTTCCTATATAAGGGCTATGGCACGGCCTGATATTCTGATGCATCAAATCTCATTCCAGAACATCTCATCACGGAACATGTCATAACAACGTAAAGCCACACTAAGTCAGAAAGGCAGATCTTACTAACTTTCTTATCTAACTTATGGAGTCCATACCTGCCAAAGACAGACAACACTAGCAGTCAGCGCCTCGGAGCACACTGGCCAGTAAAGTAGGCTCCTAATCCTAGAGTTCTAAACGCTGTTCTGCAGCCGTACTTAAGTAATTCAAGACAACCGTCAGCCTTGAATGTTTGCCATTACCTCAAGTACCAAGATGATGTAGTTCTGTTTTCCCCTCATAACTCACTTGGCATGTGGATCAACCTCACTACCTCCACTACAGAGTTATAAACATTTGTTATTTCTCAGATTTTCTGTATTTTCTGATAGTTGATTGGATGCAGGAGGCAAGAGTTCGCATTGACAATGAGGAAGCGGGTTAAATTTAGAAAGAGGCCTGGTTGACATCATTGCTTCTCTTACAGCACTTTGGTGCCTCGGCCTCAAACACACACTGTACTTAAGGCGGATCAGCCTTCTTTAAATTTAGATTGGCTGGCAACACTTTATTTATACAACACACAAGACAAACCAACCACCTTCCTGAAAAAATGCCTGGGTAACATTTATAATAGTGTCATCTGCTATGTTTACCGCCAACATCAGGTGAAGTCATCTTTGTCTTGGTTTCCTTTCTTTACTTTGATGAAATAAACAGTTGCAGATGCCATGTAAATTCTCTATTAACTAATAAAAAACCATAACCATGAATACATTGTTTCACTACGGCCAGAACACATGACATTAATCTGAATATATAGCAGTTGGAGGATTTTTTACCACCACTTTCTTGGTAGAAATACTGCCATGGCAAGAGGTGCACTGATCAAAACTAGATTGGTTATTTATTTAAAATCCTGATATGCAATAGAGCAGCAAACTCAATGTCACACGGATCCCTGTTCCCTTGGTCCTTACAGCTATTCCTACCTGTAGGGGGTCGTGGTGTTTTGCTAGGTCCACACTGGCAATGAGCCAGCTGTCAGAGGCTCGGCCGGCTGTCCACAGTGGATAGTCAAAATTATCTCCATCGGGTCGGAGGTGGAGCTGCAGGGAACCTCCTCCAGTGATCTGGTACACCAGCCGCACGCAGCGCCAGTCCTCATGGTCCAGAGGTGGACTCGCTAGAACCGCCTGCTCCTGGTCGTTTAAGGAGGCCAGTCCACCGTTATCAACGCCCTGTGACAACAGCAGCAAAATACGACAAATTCACAATTTCATTCATGGAGGGACGTCTGCTGTTGTTGCAGTTATATGTTGTTGTTTTGATCTTCTGGTGGGTAATGCAAAGGGGTGACCACATTTTTATTCATATTTTGTTTAAGTCTATGGATCTTCAGCATTTTTTATGGCCATGTAATATTTTACAATAGTAACAGTAACAACACTATAAAAAAGACTTCTACTGCAACCTCCTTTTAGTAGGATTTTTTCTATTTTGTTTATTTCATCACTTATTTATTACCCTCACGATAAGTCATGTGTTGTCCGACGAGTTGTTCGAGTAGTAGCGCTGTAAACTTGTATGAACAATATTCCTTAACTTAAAAGCATTATCAGACGCAGACACTTTGATTATCTAGCAGAAAGTAGTTCTATATGTATACTCTAACATAGTGTCAGAGGTCAGACAGACAGCACAGCACCATGAACCTTCCCAGCAGTCTGTTTTACCCATCACCCATTCTACATGAACACAAAGGTAGTTTATGGGATGGAGCTGGTTTAAGTGCCATCCCTTCTGTTGGGGAGGGGACGCAGGGGGAGCGGCAGTTGTTTTTTAGATCTCTTATTTGGTCAAATGAGGTTCAAGCAGAGTCTTAGAGCAGGACAGAGTAGACAACCAGGACCGATGTACACTGATGAGACGTAATATTTGTTTCACTTGAAGTCAATTAGATGCAAATCACCTTTGGCCAAGCTGTGTTTTGTTTTACTGGCCATTTAAAAGTCGCAGTTGAGTTATGCAATCCGTCACAGTACTCATTAAAGGGATAGTTTGGGGGCTTTGAAGTTGGGTTGCACGAGGTACTTATCCATATTTCAGAGTACTACCTCCAGTTTGGAGAACAACACCGGATGACATGTTAGCAGAGCGATGTACCGCTGTGGAAAACCCAGAGCTCTATATTTAGAATATTTCTCCTGCTTGCCTCTCTGACTGGGAACTGAAGCATCAACCAGTGAGTCTGTTTGTGTTCTTGTGACTTTGATTAGTTTGGAGTCACAATGAGGCAAAGTGTCCGGTAAATTTCCACAAACTTTCACACGGCAGCACATGACTTTTCCCACCTTCTGCTGTTGGCATGGAACTGACTGTGGAGAAGTAAGACATACCGCCTACCTTTAAAATGAATATACATGGCAACTACTGCGTAGAGAACTAATGTTAACTGGGTCAGGCAAACCAAATGGGTTTCCATAGTGGGCTGGTTGATTATGATGCCACTCATTGACTAATCAACCTGTCCGGAACACATGTTCAGAGAAGAGCAAGGATTGAGGAGGGGGAGGTGGTAACGGAGGACGGGGCAGGGGGGGAGGAGGGAGCGGAGAGGAAGGGGAAAGGGATGGAGGGGGGCCGGAAAGCAGAGGAGTCAGAAACTGTCCAGCAGTAAACAGTCAGAAGGAGGAGGCCCGGTGGAGGTCTGAGCCCCTGACAGCTCTCCCTCTCACTCATCCGTCCCCTTCGCTCTGTTTATCCCCACGTCTCTGTCCCTCATGTCTCTGTTTAGAGGACATAATCACCCATTGCATCCCTCCCGGTTTCAGCCACAGAGCTCAACCCCGGGTTCTTTTTTCCACTGCGCCGAAGGATTGCCACGGCAACCAAACAGTAAAACACCGCCGTGGTCCCATCTCCTCTTTGTGAACCTATTCATTGCCACATTGGGTGTAGTCTGAAGTTATTTCTTTTCTGTAATAGCCACCGTCTGGGAGCTCCTCCCGCCTCAGGCCGGTTGCTGGTTGGTGTTTGGGGCAAAGCTCTTTTGGTCTGGTGTCCCGGGGGAACACGAATGCATACGAGAGCTAACGTGCTTCGGAGTGAGGAGAGAAGGTTTACAGCGCCGCCACTTATCTTCACAGCGGGAACATAAACTGTGCTGACGGACTGTGATAAACAGAGGAGGCTCTGTGCCGGGACACACACGGCGAAAGCAGTCAGTGGAAACAAGACAAGGGGGGGGGGGGGGGAGCGTTTGCTTGGCATGGAGGACGGGGGGGGGACAGGAGACCGTCCTGAATCAGCTCGTCTTACAGCGGGTCGACTCCACCGAATACCGATATATGTCACAATGTCAGGTCAACTTTAACAGTTCTTTAAGCGCTCGTATAATGAAATCTAAGAAGCTGATGACAAGGACTAGGACTAGGACTGATATAATATTTCAGAAATAAATACCTAGTTTTACTGCATTTTAAGGGTTTTAGATTTTAGTATAGGACACATGAATGACTTCATTAACATTTTCATTGTTCAACCATGTGTGTGTCGCAGCGTATAAAAGGTTGAAACTAGGGCAGAGCCCTGGTTCCCGCCCGGCATCCACAGCCACCCGGCACTATTCCCGTTTTGGCATTCCAGTGTGTTTGACCCATAAAAGAGCCTCAGCACCGCCGCACTGCAAGTAGCTAATGACAGGGCCGTACCCAAGGCTGCGCTTGTAGTATTAAATAGAACTGCAATAGATTTATTAGAGAGGAGAAAAAAAGGGTCTAGAGGTTTTGGTTTGCAGAGAAAGCTGGTACTGTAAAAAAAAGAGATGGTGGGATCTACTGTTGATGACTATCTGCTTTGCTTCACTGGCTTTTGGCTCTGTGTTAAGACAATGTCAATGAAACGTTACACTTCCTTGCACTTTTCAAACTAAAAGTTTTACCAAGTAAGGTGCACAACGCGTTCCACTGACCGGGAATAGTTACTGAATGAGAAAAGTACCTTAAAGCAGAAAGTGAACGCAGCGCAGCGCGACATGTTTCTGTTCACGCTTCGCACTGAAGGCAGCAGGTAAACATGGAGGGAAGCCAACGCATCTGGCTTTCCTCTGCTGCTCTCTGCGCTTGACTAAAGGCTATATTCATCATACTATATTTGATCTGTGGGCACAAAGTCTGATGAATTATGAAAAATACCAAACTAGTACCACGTGTGCCAAAGTCTAAATATTGTTGGCTATGATGAGAGAATGTCTGCACAATCAAGTGACGGCACATCGGTGGTTGTTAAAGGCTTAGTGTGTTTTCAAAATAAACTTCACATAAATGTTCACATAAAATGTTCCATGCTCCCTGGCTACATGCATAAAGTCTCTGTGATGATAAAAGTCAATAAAATATATACTTTCAAAGTAGATCTATTCTGTTTTTAATTTGACTTAAGCAACAAAACTCATTGACATAAGTACATGTGTAAGATAAAATAGGTAAGCTTGTTAAGTAACTGGCTTTATTGGGAGGCTGAGTAACAAAACAAAGGTAAAATAAGTAAACATTGGGTTGGATTGAAATGGGACCTGGGTTTCCTGCACTAAAGTCTGTTTGTTTGAGTATTCCGGCCGCGTTTATTTCCGTCAATGAGCAAGGCTCGTGATGACACCGTACCTTCTTCATTCATGCTCCAGCTGCCGTACTCGGGGTCTGATGTGTAGCCACAGGTGCCCAGCTCAAAGTTGCAGGAGCGGGCAGCAGCTGGTGCTGCACGCCGAGGACCACGCAGAGCAGCAGCCCTGCAGGGCGGACAGCCGAAAGGAGGAGGATCCATGGTTTAACACACAGGTGGACAGGCCAAAATATCCAAATGATAGAAGCCATCATGAAGTTTCCCCAGCTGATTACTTACATTTAGAAGATTAAGAAACCTCTTTTATTACATATTTTCTTACAGAGTATGATTTAATATGCAAAAGAGGCCTTTGATTATTGATGATGTGCTCAATTGCATTTATTTCTAGAATACAAACCTGAACTAGAGGGAATTTGGATGTTTCTTCACTATAAGTCTGAACATGCAGCCATATAAATAATAAACTTTCTTCACTTTTAGTAAAGAAATACTTTGAAATTTGAAGAAAAACGACCTTTAGAGACATTTCTAAAATATTGAATAGTGTAAAATAATAAACGTCACCAGTTGATTACACGAAGGCAATGTTCTTTTGTATTTTTCCTACAATCGTCATGTTTAAATATCCAATGCAGACATTGTCCAGCAGTAATCCTGCTAATGGAAGACTCCTTTTAAAGCGGGGGCAGATATTTACCGTGCAGGGCGAGGCGCGCGCCGCTCATCCTGTCCGTGCGCGCGATCCCTCTGTAGGTCGAGTCCTCCGTTACCGAGCGGGTCCCCGTCAGATCCCCCGCCCGCCTCCCCAAACAAAGATCTACTGCAGCCACAGAAGCTCCTCAAGACCCGCCTGGCTCTTCTTCCGCATGCTGTGACCGTGGGAGCCGCAGAGATGGAGCGCGTTCTGTCCGGGCGGGTGGATGGAGGGATGGATGGAGGGATGGATGGATGTCCCACGAGAGGTGTGTGAGGCGTGTCTCCGCCCACTTGTCCCGCGGGGTCCCACAAAGGAGCCACGGAGCGACAAACCCGCGTCACACGACGAATATCTGCACCTCCGTGCGCGTTTGTGGAGCTTTATTTGTGTACGCTATGCGGCTGTGTGGGGCTCTGCGCTTTCATTTTTAAAAATAAAGTTCTGAGGATATAAAAATCCCACCAGAGAGGTGATACAAACATGCATCAATCAATCAATATCTTGTCAAGTGTTTGAGGACACTTTACCAAAATCCACATTTCTGTAGACCACTTTGCCCAAGGGAATTACCAACATGGCATGTGACATTAGTGGAAAGAGTCAAAAAGAAGTAGAACAAAGCACGGGAGTTTTCAGTCTAGAAACATTAAGGATTAAAGATGAAACATGAGAAACTTTACCGCACAGAACATTTAAACATTTCATTTGTCATTGAGGTTATTTCACAGCAGGTATCTAGGTTTGACAATCTAGGGAGAAAAGAGCCTGGATGACATTCAGATCAGGGAGTAAAAAGTACCAGCAGTATACCAACCAACCAAGTATAGAATACCACCAATTGTGTGGCATTCTCATCCGGACGAGCCTCGATTTACATTTCAAGCAAACAGGCGTAGATACGATGAAAGGTATATTTTGACACTACAAGTTTTCTATCCAGTTGAGTGATGACTCACTTGTAGTCTAAATCAAACCAAGGTATCGAAGTGTCACTTTCTAGAAAACATGACAGCAAATCCACTATAAAGTACATTTAGTTAATAGCAAAGCACTATTCAGTGCATTCAATGAATAGTTTCTAGTGAAAGTCCAGAATGGTTTACTTTGTGCCTACAGAAATAGTGAAAGAATGCCAGTTAACTTTGAATAGCATTCAAGTTCTATTGAAGCAATTCAGCTTCTGTGCCCCTCACAAAATCCCTCAAAGAAATCTCATCTGTGGCCCCTTTTAGGGCCCCAGCGAACCATTGAAATGCATCTTGAGTGGTGGGTCAAAACAAATGCTTGCCAAGTATAGAGAGAATACTAGTTAAAGTAAAAACTTATCAGGAAACATTTATTGCCAAAATATGTCAAACAGACAAGGTATTTGTCTTGGCGGGTAGTCCGTCTGAAGTGAAGGTTATATTTACCCATTCAGTAGTTTAAAGAGTTGCCTCACTAAAGAAGTTTTATTTACCACTAAAGATAAATGATTCACTTTGCAAAAGGGAAAAAAAAAAGTGACTCTCAAATGGCTTTGAGACAACATTAAAGAGTGGCACACACCTACACATTAAAAGACCAAACTGCAGATCAGATAACACAAGTTTATTTCATTCAAGATTTTTAGTTTGGCTAAACATGACTATCTGGGAGAGACAGAAGGGAACAATGTCAGAAGTCTCAATTCAAATCCACTAGCGAAAAAACCAACACATGCAATTACTTTGAGATTGGCCATCGCTCATTGGCTGTCTTTGACAGGTTGTCCAGGGCTGTTAGCAGGAAGCGGCATGGGTGGAAACAGGACCTCTCCAGGAATGTAGAGAGTTTGGGTGAACTGGCGTCTTCCATTGTTGTAGCGAGAGCGGGACTTGAACGAGTACACGGGCTCCAGGTCCGACACGTCACTGAACACAGGCTTGGACGCTTCCTCCTCACCCGCGGCAGGAAACGTTGCATAGCCGCTGTCAGAGGACCCGGAGTAGAACGCAGGCCCAGCGGAGCCCACACCTGCGTTAGCGTACCAACTGTTGTCAAGGCCAGAACCGGGTGCAGGACTGTCATAAGCTGCTAAAAAGGATTAGGATCT